AAGCTGGTGAGCGACAAGACCCAGCGGTACAACCGCTCCAGAGAGCGGTACAATCGCTGGGCAGAAACAGTGAGCAGGAATGAGGGGAAGAGGCAAGGAAAACTCTCTCTCACACACACACCTGAGGAAGGCAAAGAGAGGGTGAGAAAAGTGTACGTGAACTGATTCCCCCAGAGCTTCCTAATGAGGATTCCCTCTTGATAGTACGGGTACTCTACGACCAAAGAAAATAAAAACATAGAAGACACGTCTTCGATCTTTTCCTTCAAGAGGTAATAGCAATCCGATGTAAGCCTAAGCATCGAGAACCTGAAACATATAGCACACGTTTAGACCACAAAGGGTTGTCATCATCATCCAAAACATAAAGTAGGGAAATGCCCTTTCACTCTCCAACAACAGGGAAATATGTCTTGGTTTTCTTTGATGATATCTTGGTCTTTGGTAAAAAATGAGGAGCATTTAGTAAACTTGGAGTCTGTGTTGCAAATTTTTAAGGAAAAGCAGTGGAGAGTGAAACTCAGTAAGTGTGCTTTTGGTGAACAAGAAATTGCTTATTTAGAACATGCCATCAGGGACAAAGGAGTGTCCACTGATCCTAGCAAAATTCTTATAGTACAAAATTGGCCCACTCTTGCTATGTAAGGGAAGTTAGAGGATTTCTTAGACTTACAAGGTATTACAAAAAGTTTATTCAGAGTTGTGGGATCACCAGTAGGCCTCTGACCCCACTGTTGAAAAAGGGCACTATATTTGTGTGGACTCTAGAAACTGAAGCGGCATTTCAAACACTTAAACATGCCTTGTTGACAGCTCGAGTTCTAGCTCTACCTGACTTCAAAAAGCAGCTTGTGTTGGAAACTGATGCATGTGGCACTAGCATTGGAGTTGTTCTGATGTAAGAAGGACATCCCCTAACTTTTGTTAGCAAGGCCTTAGGTCCCAAGAACAAGGGTTCGCCAGTCTACGAAAAGGAATATCTAGCTATTTTGCTGGCAGTTGAGCATTGGAGATCTTATCTCGAGTTCCAAGTTTCTGATAAAAAACCAGATCATAAAAGTTTGGTGCACTTAGCTAATCAGAGATTGCATACACCTTGGCAGCAAAAAATCCTTACTAAACTGATGGGGTCAATTACAAGATCATTTATAAAAGGGGGCAGATAATACTGCAACAAATGCTTTGTCAAGAAGACCACATGAGTTACAATAGCAGAATTAAGTGTTTGCAATTTCTTGTTCTCAACCTAGTTGGCTGGAAGATATTATATTAAGTTACTCTCATTATGAGAAGGCCGAGGAATTATTACAGCAGTTGGCAGCAAGCCCCACATCAAAACCTCACTACACATTGGTTAATGGCCTAATGAGATACAAAAATTCCATTTGGATTGCCAATGATTTGCCCATGGAAACAAGATTTTGTCTTGCATTTCATGCTAGTCCACTAGGAGGACATTCTGGTTTCCCTGTCACTTATAAATGAATTCATGCATTGTTCAAATGGAATAGTATGAAAAACTCCATCAAAGAGTTTGTTCAGTCTTGCACTGTTTGTCAACAGGCCAAACCAGAGAGAGTTAATTATCTTGGACTCCTTTCTCCTTTACCAGTGGCTAAGAAAGATTGGGAAACAGTGACAATGGATTTTATCTCGGGCCTTCCATCTCCAGATCAGCTTGACTAGATTATGGTTGTTATTGAGAAGTTTACCAAATATGGCCATTTCATTCCTGTTAAGCACCACTACAATGCTATGAAATTTGTTGAACTATTCTTTGACAATGTTTACAAGTTACATGGCATGCCTCTATATATTGTTTCCGGCGGAGATCTTGTGTTTACTAGTAAGTTTTGGCAAATCTTGATCAAGAGGACTAGTACTCTTCTCAATATGAGCACTGCATATCACCCAGAAACTGATAGCCAAACAAAGCGAGTTAATCAACAGGTTGAATGCTACTTGAGGTGTTTGATTTCAGCTCGCCCTAGGAAATGGAACAAGTAGTTAGCTCTTTGTGAATGTTGGTACAACAACAATTGCCATTCTTCTCTAGGTAAGTCTCCATTCAAGGTTTTGTATGGTCATACACCTCGTTATTTTGGTATTTCTCCTAAAGACATAGTAGCTCCTCTGGATTTGCAATAGTGGTTAGATTCTTGGTGCAGGCTTTAGTTAGGCAGCAACTGTTAAGAACTCAACAGCGTATGAAGGCCCAAGCAGATAAAAAGAGGACTGAAAGAGAATTTGTTGTTGGTGACATGGTTTTCCTAAAACTCCAACTGTATGTGCAAGCAACAGTAGCTCACAGGGAAAACCACAAGCTCTCATTTTGTTACTTTGGTCCATTTCCTGTTACTAAGAGAATTGGTGAAGTAGCTTATCAGTTGCAATTGTCGGTGGACAGTAGAATGCATCAAGTATTTCACGTTTCTCAGTTGAAGAAGTTCATTCCTCCAAAATATCAGGTACATGATGTTCTTCCTTCATCCGAAGCGCACTTGCAAGTACCTTTCGAGTGCTGCAGTAGCGCCTTCGTATTGTGGATAACAAAACCATTACTCAAGTGCTTGTTGAATGGAGTGGATCACCATCGCCAACAACGACTTGGGAAGATAGTGATGCAAGCAGTTGACTCCAAGGGCAGAGGCTTGGGGTCAAGCCTCATCTCAAGAAAGGGGAATGTCAGCGAGCTCACTGACAAACAAAAGGTGATCAAGATCGACCGTCAGCGGACGTATGACAAGGGTGATTCAACTCGCGGGCCTTTAGGCCGGTCCACTCGTACGCACAAGACTCCCCAGCAGGCTCGAACTGGAACCGTTAAGGGTGTAATGGCTCTTTGCTATATAATCCCTCATCTTCTCCATCTCATTTTGGCTTGGACAGGAAGTAGATGGCTTAGGTCAGGCTAGGTGAGGACCTATGGTGGTAATTCGAATATGCCGTGTTGGTGGATGGGAGGAACAACATAATACCCCTTGTCTAGTTCATCAATTAGATTCGAAGAGAATAAAAACATGGTAAAGAAAGAGAACCATGGGTTCAAAAACCCATGACCTTTCCACCCAAACCAACTAAGAAGAAAGATGATGAAGAATTTGAACGCTTTACTGAAATACTTAGGCCAATCTTTTTGTGCACTCGCTTGACTGATATTTTAAAAATGCCCCCTTATACAAAATACATGAAAGACATCATCTCTAATAAAATAAAAATACCAGAAGCTGAAATCTCCACAGTGCTTGCTAATTATTCTTTTAATAATGGAGTACCTAAAAAACTTGGAGATCCGAAAATACCAACTATACCTTGCTCCATAAAAAAAACTATGTTAAAACTGCTTTGTGTGATTTAGAAGTTGGTGTTAGTGTCATGCCTTTCTCTTTATACAAAATACTTGACTTGAATAAACTCACACCTAGTGAAATATCTTTTCAAATGACTGATAAATTAACTGTCATACCTATCGGTATTTGTAAGGATGTGCCTATTGTTGTTGCAAATGTTACCGTCTTAACTAACTTTGTTATACTTAAGATGTCTGAGGACGACAACATGTTGATTATCCTTGGTAGACCATTTTTGAATACTGCAGGAGATGTTATTAATTACAATAAAAGTAAGGTCACTTTTGATATCAATGGTAATGAGCATACAGTGCACTTTCCGAAGAAACAATTCCAAGTGAATGATATTAATGTTATTTTCGAATAAACAATTTCAAGTGAATGATATTAATGTTATTTAAAAATCTAGGACAATCACTATTGAACGTTTTCAACTGCCTCTACCTACTTGCAATAGATCCTGACAAGAAGCAGGTGTTTAACAAGTTTTCTATATACTCAAAAAGAAAAGAGAGCGAATTTTCTATTGAGTCGGACTCCTTGGAGCTCCCAAAAGAAGTGACCCTAGAGATTTCACCTTGCAGCTTTGCTCATTTCTTTGTGGACATCTGACCTTTGGACAATGGTCAGGGCGACATCCGACAAACAAAAGGAGGCGAAGTCGTCGTCGATCCATACGCCACGATGAGCAGCATAAATATGAGTACTCCTACTTGGAAGTAAGCCCAACCTAGGCAAACGATAAGCTACTCCGTAGACGTCCGTTTTGGTTCTTTTCAGACCATGGTGCTACTGCCTACTGATTTCCCTGCTCGGTGTGGAAACTTGCACGCTAAAATAGAGATGATTCATACCATTATCACGACGAACAATGAACACGTCATCATTTCCGCTCAACAAATCAAAGAAGCGTAGAAAGTAAACATTAACCTAAGCCTACGACACTACTGTAAGCTATCTAGAAGGCTGCGTTCAGTATTGTGAAGATATCCTGTTTTATCAGTGATCAGTAGCGGCACTGTCAGCCTTTGATCTTGCCCGCCTGCCCTTCTCCTGCCCTCCGCTCGAGTATTATCTCTGCCTCCGTCACGCCAAAAGAGGCCCGCCGGACAAGGACACCTCGTGAGGCGGCAGTACGTATGCTGCTGTCGCCGCCATTGCACGCATGGCCAGCGCTCACAGTAGCAGCACAGCGGCGGCGACGGCCACCGCGAGGAGGAGCTGCGACGCATGTGCGGCAACGGAGGCCCCAGCGCCCGTGGAGAACTGCTCGCCGCCGCGGTACATCATCGTGCCGTTCGCGGGCGGCACGCCGGCAGCCTGCGGGTTCTCGTCGGCGTACTTCCCACTGCGGAGCAAAACACACAAGCATAGTACGGGTCAGCACAGCACACGGTACATGGTACAAGATCGGAGCAGCGTGCACGCAAGATACTTATGGCGTCGCAGATATTTTTGTAGGACGCAGATATTTTTGGACAGGGGCGTAGATGCCTACACGACGTGTCTCTCTGACTCTGAGCACACGAACGTGGCATGCAGTTGGGAAGAGGACAGCGAAAATGAATGCGAGCCATCGACGGCCTACTAGGCCTACGGGACCGCACGCGCGAAACGGCTAGAAGCCGGTTCACATCGGGCTGCGTCAGTTCATCTATCCTGTGCGCGCGTGCGAGCAGGGACCCCACCATGCCATGAATTCCTAGCCGTTGCACACTGCTGCGTGCATTTCGGCCGTTGAATACTGTACAGTCCTGTCAGAATTGGTCTGATTCTTTGGAGGTAAACAAATTCCAGACGCCACATATTATATTCAGTCGCCATGGCAGGGCTGTGTTGCAACAGTACGTATGAGCACAGCGCGAGCTGGACCGTATGAGCACATGATTTGATGTTCTTTGCCGACTGACCGCCATTTACATTGACAAGCATATTAATTTTATTGTGTGCGGTGGATTATTAGCCATATTCAACATGTCCTATCAAAATCCCAGCCAAACTGTTGTAAAATACTCCTACTGCACAAATTTGAATATCTATAGTAAGGTAAACCTTATGAATCGCCACGTCCTAAAGAAAGACTTCAACGTGTGCAGGTCCCTACCACCATAAACCCATTTTTTTTGTTTGCCAAAAAGGCATTTCGACCGTGCATTTTCGCGCCATTTAGCGAATCTACGGCCCACGATCAAACACAACGGAGCTAGGATTGCTTGCTTGATTGGTTTGCTGAACGTGCTGGAACACGAAGGGTCCGGGAAAAGAGGTTACCTGGTGGTGCTCGGGCAGAAGGTGATGGCGTAGTTGGTGCCGGCGGCGCAGGTGAAGGTGGAGGTGGAGTCGTCGTACGCGTAGCTGTAGGCGCGCGGGCACGCGCTCTTGAAGTACTGCGAGTAGGCCGACGGCCGGCACGTGCTGGGGCTCCCGTACGCGCCGCTGCAGCAGTACTCCGGGGACCCGAACGCCTCGCACGCGCTGCGGCACGCCATGGCGCTCCCGCCGACCGCCGCGCTGCTGGCGGCGCCCGCCGACGCGACCTTCAGCGCTGCCGGGCACGCGGCGTTCAGGTCGACGAGGCAGCCGGTGGCCATGCACTTGGGCCCGCCCGTGGAGCCGGCGGCGGCGGCGCCCTGCGGCACGACCAGCATCGGGAGGTTGTAGCCGTCGACGAGGCTGACGTCGAAGAAGTCCATGCCGCCGGAGCCGTCGAGCGTGAACTCCACCAGCGAGGCCGGCGGCGCGGCGCCGCCGCCGTTGCACTGGAGCGCACCCGAGCCGCAGTCGCCCGTGGCGCAGGTGAACTTGCCGGCGGCGTCCTCGGCGCAGAGCGTGCGCGCCCACATGCGCCCGGACCAGCTCGCCGGCGCGGTCACCGTGGCCGACGCGCCCTGCGCCAGCGCGAACCCCGTCGTGGACAGCGGCGCCGTGCCGGCGCCCGACAGCAGCCCCGGCCACACCGTGTAGCCGCAGTTGTTGGTCATCGTGAACGTCGCCGACCACGCCGCTGCAAAGCACCCAAGAACTCGAGCCGATCAGCCACGCGCACACCAAACAGAAACAGAGAGTGCACATTGCAACAAATCAGATCATCAGAAGCGCAAACATCAGTTTACCTGGAAGCAAAAGGAGCAGGGTGATCAGCCGGAGAGCGACCTGAGCTGGGCTCCGCGCCATTTTTGTTCTCTCACTCTTGACTAGTCCACAAGGCCTCAGCTCCAAGCTCTGGGGCAGCTCTGCTCAGGTATGCTCTGCTTTCGTGTAATGCAATGGCCGGGAGAGGGTGACCAGGTGAGGACGGCCGGCTGACTTATATAGACGGCGCAGCCCAAGCAAGCAGGAGAGGGGGCCGTATCTGCCCAACGGACACTGCAAGTGGGGCCGGATGGGACAGATCTTGAAGGCTGTCTGCTCTTGGACGTATGTCGGCAACGGCTCCCTCACCCCTCACCGTCTCTCTATCTTGTCCGTAGCCGTTCACCGTCCTACCTACGTCCGCCGCCTCGTCCCCTCGAATATCTGAGCGGTCGAGAGCTGGACGACGATGGAGGTAGGAGAGATTTGGCCGTGCCGTAATCCATTTATAGAGGCGTGGCCGCGTTGGACGCGGGCGGTGGCGGTGGTTGATGACCGGAGAAGAAACGGGGAAGGTGAGCAAGAAAAGAAAACTCTGACGACGCGCAGCTGTTATGCATTTTTGCTAGGTTTACGTGTTGGACTTGTTGGGATTTCATTTCCTCCTCCAAAGAAAGGAACTCCACTTTTGTAATCCTCAAGCTGCAAATGATCGCCCCCCTCGTTTGACCTCCCGCCACTGCCAAGGCACATCGATATTTCGTGTGGAGATTACACAGGCGTAAGTACTCCGTGTCTTGCCTTGCACGAGATATTAAAGTGATTTAAACATGCTTCTCGGAGAAAGATTGCATTGGGCGGGCCAGGTTTTGAGGGGTGATCTGCCGAAGTTTTCGCAGAAGATGCATGTAAAGCTTCCTGCCACTTCTGTGTTGGTGAGTCGAGATTTTCCTAGAGACTAGTCTACATTACAACTTCAAACTATGCTGACTGTTTATTTTTAAATCTCGGAAATTTAAAATCGTATGTTCTACAACCCCGGACTTCGAAAACGTCTCTCGCTTTCTCATCCCGAGTCATTTTAGACTCAACCGCCGTTGCCGCCCACCTTGTACGCCACCACTCCCACCCCAACCCGCCGCCACACGGTCGATGCCCACCACCCCAAGCATCCAGGCGCCACCTCATGCAACGTTGTCGACTAGCCAAAGGAAGCTCCCCATCGCCGTCGCGAGATAGCCTTTGTCGTTCCCTACACCTCCCCTTTTATTGTAGTTGTCGTCCGATCAAGAACTACAACATCAGCATAGGAGGTTGTCGAGCAGGGGAGGAGGGTGTAGTGGCCGCCGTTGTGTCGGCTCTCGCCCTCTAGGCTCCGGTTGCTCAGGGGTATGGCCCCTCGGGCCCAGCGGCGGATCTAGTAGGGGTGCCATACTACGTACTTGACACTAAATACCTAATGAGTTAAGACAATTTTAAGAAAATTGTTGAGATCATGATAATGTTTAGGCCAAATTATATCACCTGTAGTGTAAAATTTACAAATTTTGAACATTGGCATCCCCCAAGACGGAGATTCTAGGTCGACCACTGCTTGAGTGCATTGGGTCAGGTGCGTGGCGGGTTGGGGGAGAAGGGGTGAGGTGGAGGAGGATCTGGACGCAATGGTGGGTAGGGGCGGCATATGTCGGCGCCATCGGTCGCCGTCGGCGCCATCGGTCGCCGGTCTGCGGTTGCCGGCATCGGACATGATGACGGTAGGCCGGGGTGGGGTTGGTGGCGTACGCAGGTCACTAACTAGGCACTGACTAGGCGGTCAACAAGTTAAAACTGGTCAAACCTGACCAGAAAACTGGTTTGAGAGGAGTTGGGGTTGAAAAGTTTTCAGATTTCGGAGTTGTAAAGTAGACAGTCTTAAAATTCAAGGTTATAAATTAGACAATCGAATGGAATTCTCTCATTGTCCTATTGGAGCAACACATGCCGCCTGGAAACGGAACTCCCCATGCGGGGGACCGAGCACCGAGAGGTGGGGCGACCTGCCTCATCCGGCGGCGATTTGGCTTGCAACTTTGCATGCATGTGCAGATCAATCGCCGTGAACCGAACCAACCACGAGCAAGCCAACGCAGCATGCCGCAGCCTCGACGCATCCCGGCGTACGATAGATTTCTCACCAAAAGACAAAAGTTCACAGATAGATCCCGAGGTGGTAATGGACAGGGACGTTCACATGCTGACCTGCATGCACATGCGGATCACCTTATCCAGGGTCTCGCATGACGCATGTCGAACCGTTTTATCACCCCGTGCACGGGGTCGTCGCCCCGCCAGAAATTTCGGCAGCTCAAAAGAAGATTTCACGGGCTCAAAACAGTCTCCGGATGGCGCAAAGTGTGTGCTTTATCGCAGCCTGCAGGATGGATACTAGCCCAATTAAGGTACTGATCCTTGTTGGATAGATCGGACACTTTTCTGACTCTGCGAGACGACTTTTGCCGCTTTCCCGGTTCAACTCTGCACACACGTAGGTCTTGCTTTCTCTGTACCGGAAAAAGTGCTTATGTGGCTCCAGCCAAGGGTGAAACATCGCGGACGGCGCATGTTTTATTTGCGCGGGAATTGAACTTCCAAATAGCACAAGATCTTAGGCACACGATGCATGGAAGCTTTTGATCGTGCACGATGTTCCCTTTTAACGAAAACGAAAAAGAAAGTAATAGTTGTGAAACATTTTGCCAGAGAAAGGTCCAGTCTCGGCCTGAACCGTCAACGGCGGCGCCTGCAGGCGTCGTGGCCTCATTGGAGGCGTTGTGGGGTGATTCACGTCTCCTGTGTGTCACGGAGGAAACCCCAGATTAGGTTCGTCATCCCCATACGGCATTATCTTTAAGGTAGTACATCGACTGGAGGGACAAGTGTTTGGTTTCGATGGCTGGGCGTAGGTCCCCGCATGCTTCCCATGCGAAGACCAAGGTGGAACAGCGTGGCATCTACAATATCAACGACGTCGAGTTTTGGTGGCAAGGTGTAGCAAGGTCTGCCATTTGATGGGTGCGCGCAAGAGCCTAGCGTTGTCCGGCGTCGTGATGGCTTCAACAACAGAAGATGGGACTGCGAAAGATGATGGAGACAGATTCTACAGTGTGCGCATGCAATGCACATTGAGAGTCTGCTAGACCGGTTGATGCTTCCGGCTAACTGGCGGGCGGCATGGTAAAGCCACCAGATTTTTTGATGTGCGTGATGCGAAGTCAGGTCACATCATCAATCTTGATAGGGCGGCACATTTAGTCGGGAAGGTGACTTTAAGTTAATTCATGTATTTATTTGTAAGACCTAATTGAATAATGCAATATAGATCGCTCTATGCAGTGATCGGGGGTAATCTTTTCCGAAAAAGAAAGTTGTGATTTGACTAATCTGTTTCTAGGCAGATTCTGCTACGTTTCATCAAATGCTTGGACACTACTCGGCGACGTCGGCCTACAAGGCGCAGTTCTTTGGTCATACTGATACTGAGATGGTATCGACCGTTTGAAAGATTTGGGCACCTCCTAAATGCAAGTTCTTCGCTTGGTTGGCAATCAACAATAGGATGTGGACAGCGGATAGGCTTCAACGTCGTGGGTGGCCAAACTGTAACCTTTGTCCCCTATGTAAGCAGGTTCAAGAGTCAGCGGCCCATCTTCTATTCCAATGCAGATACACTATGAGAGTTTGGCGCATGATCAAAGATTGGCTGGGTCTTCATGATGTGCATTCTAGTGATTAGAGTGACGCGACTTCTGTTAAAGAGTGGTGGAGCCACAATGCTATCAAGAAGACACAATCACGAAGACCACTTGCTTCCTTGATGC